TAGGCCCATGTTGATGCAATCGGTGAATCAGATGTTTGATGAGGTCGCTCGATCCAGACGTCGTGTTTTTTCATGTTGCTGATTTCTTTGAGTTTGGCCTCTCTCCATTTTGATGCTTCTTGACTTTTCATCGCCATGTTGTGCGATTTGGGATCCGCTGAGGTTGACATCAAACAGATCGTCTGTTGAGTGCGCTTGCCTTCAATGATGTTGTCTTCATTTATCGCGCTGGTGACCGATTGCTTGGGTTGAAAATCTTTGACATATATCCACCGTTTGTCTGAAGGTGGCTCGGTCGGGAATTCAGGTGTAGTTTCATCATGCTCTTCTTCAACTGGTTCGTTATTGGCAGTTTGCTCTGTGCTTTCTTCAAAAGGAAGGATTGGATCTGCCAAGAATGTCAGTAGTGCATCGAGGTTTTCATACCTCACCGCGAGACTTTTGTTGAGCGCCGAACAGATTGGAAATATTGTTTCACTGAACTTGACTTGTCTTGAAAAAATGACTTTTCGATCTTCATGTCTGAAGATTCTGTAGGATGTCATGTCGTTGGTGTAGCCAATTAAGGTGCCTTCCCACGAGATTGCATCGAACTTGTTGCCTTGGTTTGCTTTTGGTTTGAGAATCCATGCCTGACAGCCGAATGGTTTGAGGAAGTTGGGGTTGAGCTGCTGCTTTAGAAACAACTGCCTCGGGGTTGATCGACTCTTTGATAGAGATGGAAGACAGTTCGTGATGCTCGCAGCTGTTTGTACAGCTTCCCCCCACCATTCTGCAGCCATGTTGGCCTGCAGAAGCATACAACGCGTCATTTCAATGATTGTTCTGTTCGCCCTTTCCGCTATTCCGTTGTGCTGTGGAGTGTATGGCGGTGCTACGTTGTGTTGGATCCCTTCCTCTTTCAGAATGGCACTGAGTTCATTGTTGCAGAATTCACCTCCGCCGTCAGTGATCATCTTCTTGATTGAGTGGCCAGATTGTTTTTCGAATAGTGTTTTGAATTCGATAATTGCCTTTGTAGCGTCCGACTTCTCTTTCAGTAAAGAAATGTTGATGAAGCCGGTGTGCTGATCAACCAACGTGAGAAAGTATCTGCATCCTCCGTTCGTTGTGGGTGAGATTGGTCCCACAATGTCGCCGTGTACCACTTCTAGTGGGTTGGAGGTCGGTGAGAAGTGTCCTTTGAAAGGTGATTTGATCATTTTTCCTTTTGAGCAGGCTTCACACGTGACTTTGGTGCTGAGCTCGCTTTTGTCGGGGATAACTTCCTTGATCCTGGGTGCACTGGCATGACCAAATCGTCGATGCCATGTGTCGAACTTGCACACTTCGTGTGTTCTTGTGTTGAGTGCTTGCTCGCTTGGCATGATGCCCTCAACTTCAAAGAGATTGTTATCGGTGTTGATCCGAAGTGAATGCGAGTCGTTGATTGTGACTATCATTCTTCCATTCTGGGTTGTCATTGTCGCTTTGCTCTTGATGAGCTGCGCAAAGGAGATCAGATTGGTGGACAGGTTAGGCACATAAAGCGAATTCTTGAGGGTTATCGTTGAGTTATCATCAAGGCGGAGTCTGGCTGTGCCCTTTCTTGTTGCCATCATGTTGATGTTGGTTGCCCCTGATCCGGTGACGATCAGGACTTGTGTCGGAGTCGAGTCGATGAATATGTCAATTGAGTTGAACATATGTTGACTTGCCCCAGAGTCGAGAATGTAGGCGTGTCGTTTTGCTTCTTCCTTGTCAGAGTAGTACGCATAGTCTTCCTCTGGATTGACTAGAGCCGTAGTTGTCGAGTAGTTTGACGCCCTTGCTCTCTTCTGTGGTCTGAATGGTCTGACGTCCGGTGATGGTCGCAGCTCCGGGTGAAGAGTCCAACATTCGTCTTCATCGTGTGGATGTGTGGATTCAGGGTTGTGTTTTCCCCCTGTGCAGTAAATTCGAGGCTTCTTTTGCTTTCTGGTGGTGGTTGCAAGCGCCTGGCTCTGCGCCTGACTGTGGCTGGTTGAGAGCTCGC